GAATGATGAAAGTAAATGAGATGTTATCCAAGAACGTCTGAAGGAGATTTCAAAAAGTAAAGTATGCATAGTGAGACATCAGCTATACCCAAAGGATTATAAATCATGCTGCTATAAAGACACATGCACACGTATGTTTATTGTGGCACTATTCACAATAGCAAAGACTTGGAACCAAGTCAGATGTCCATCAATGACAGACTGGATTAAGAAAATGTGGCACATATACACCATGGAATACTGTGCAGCCATAAACAAGGATAAGTTCCTGTCCTTTGTAGGGACATGGATGCAGCTGGAAACCATCATTCTGAGCAAACTGTCGCAAGGACAGAAAACCAAACACTGCATGTTCTCACTCATAGGTGGAAATTGAACAATGAAAACACTTGGACACAGGAAGGGGAACATCAAACACTAGGGCCTGTCGTAGGGTAGTGGAAGTGGGGAAGGATAGCATTATGAGTAGTGTAATGTAATGTAAATGACGAGTTAATGCGTGCAGCACACCAACATGGCTCATGTATACATATGCAACAAACCTGCACATTGTGCACATGTACCCTAGAACTTAAAGTATTTATATATATTTTTATATATATATATATATAAAAATAAGTCATGAGGGAGAGAAAATACTCTTAATTGGACTAACCCATGAAGTAGGATAGTACAATTTGAAAAAGGACTTGGATTAGTTGTAAATGTATAGTGCAATATCCAGCACAGCCACTAAAAATGATTTTGAAAAAAGCAGTATAATCAATATACTAATAGAAGAAAAAGCAGAATCAGGCCAGATGTGGTGACTCATGTCTGTAATCCCAGCACTTTGGGAGGCCGACGCATGAGGATCACTTGAGCCTCGGAGTTCAAGTCCAGCCTGGCAACAAAGTAAGAGCCCATCTCTACCAAAAAAAAAAAAAAAGGAAAAAGCAGAATCCTTTTTTTTTTTTTTTGAGATGTTGTTTCAGTCTTGTTGCCCAGGCTGGAGTGCAATGGCACAATTTCAGCTCACCACAACCTCCGCCTCCTGGGTTCAAGCGATTCTCCTGCCTCAGCCTCCTGAATAGCTGCGATTATAGGTATGTGCCACCACGCCCAGCTAATTTTTTGTACGGAAAAGCAGAATCTTATACAATGCTCAATTAAAACCAGGGAGAGGAGAAAGAGTGGAAGACCAAAAAAGTAACAAACTGCAAGGTTGATAAATAGAAAACAATAACAAATGCTGAATATATTAATCTAGGTATATCAATAATCACTTTAAACAGCACTTAAAAGACAGAGATTGTCAGTGGATTAAAAACAAGACCCAACTATATGTTGTCTGTGAGAAATGCATTTTAAATAGCTGGGCATGGTGGTGTGCACCTGTGGTCCTTAGGAGGCTGAGGCGGAGTGTCACCTGAGCCCAGGATTTTGGGACTACAGTGAGCTATGATCACACCACTGCACTCTAGCCTGGTTGACAGAATGAGACCTCATCTCTACAGAAAAAAGTAAGGAAATCCACTTTATAAAGGCACAAATATATTCATAGTAAAGGAATGGAGAAAGATATCCCATGCTAACATTAATCAAAATAAAGTGAAATAGCCATATTAATTTCAGACACAACCGACTTTAGAACAAGGAATATTATCAGAGATCAAAAGGGGCATTCCTTAATGACAAAGGGATCAGTTTTCTAAGAAGACATAACAATCCTTAGTGTGTACACACTGAACAACAGAGCATCACAGTACATGAAGCTAAATCTGATGGAACTGCAAAGAGAAATAGATAAATTCACTCTTAGAGTTGGAGGCATTGACATCCCTCTCTCAGAAATGGACAGGTTCAGTAAGCAGAAAATCAGTACGGGCATAACATGATCAACCATGATCAAAAACTTGATTCAATCAACGATATGTAACTGACATCTATGGACCACTTTACCCAGTAACAGCAGATGACACATTTTCTCACACACACAGAACATTCAGCAGAATAGACCACATTCTGGGCTAGAAAATGCACCTCAGCAAATTTAAAAGATTAGAAATCATACGAAGTGTGTTCTCAGACTACCAGGAAATGAAAGTAAAAAAAAAAAAAAATCACTAAAAAAAAGATAGCTCAAAAACATGAAAATACTTGGAGGTTAAACAACAGACTCCAAAATGACTGAAGGTCACAGAAATCTCAAGATAAATTTTTAAAATATTTCAAACTAAATGGAATTGAAAGCACAACTTAACAAAAATTTAGGAATGCAACAAAGGCAATGCCTACTGGGAAATCTATACCACTGAATGTATATTAAAAAGAACAAAGATCTAAATAAATAATCTTTCCCATTGGGAAGCTAGGGGGAAAATTAAAATTAAATTCAAAGTAAGCAAGTAAAAGCGATGATAAATAATGAATACAATTCTGAGCAGCGTGATATCTGATTTCTGGAGGCTGAGTTTTATGTGGCTTTAGAAGTTTCATGTTATGAGTGTGAATTGGCAAGTGACCATGGCGATTGTTTCTGATATGGCCATCTCAATCACCTAGAGAAGGGATCAGCAGTGGCATCATCCCAGCTCTGCATGGCACCACACCAGTGATTCTCCAAAGTCAAGAAACCTGTATATGTTGTCCTTCTTGTGTTTGGTGAATCTGTGGTCTATAGACTACATAACGGGCTATTTCTGGGGTACTGACTATTTTGCTCCACTAAGGAAAACCGTGCGTGAGCCATATAACTATGGGAAACGATGTTTTCCTTTTTGACACCTGGCCTACTCCTTTCAGATGAGAGCAAAGGAAGAGCACCACTTGGCCTGCTGCACCCAGGGCAATTTATACCATCCAGGTATCCAGCACTGAATATGTAGCAACTCCAATCCACTGCAGAACATTAATCTATAATTATGCTAATATCTACGATTCTGCCTTTGTGGGGAGATGACTCCATAGATTAACCCCCTGGCTTGGGTCAATATTGAGATGTTATATTGTCTTCAACAGGGAAGATGACATAAAAATTATGTTCAATAGGATTATGTGGAGACTTAATATAAGCGAAAAACCTGAGACAAGAAGTTAGAAATCCTTGTTTCTTTTAGGTGAATAATTTTGGAGCTTGAGAAAACGACACCATTGTGGCAAACTTGCTTTGCCAAACCCTGTGTATGCATTTCTGGGTAAACAACACATTTTCATCCTTTAAGCATTGTTTCCATTATTTATAATTCCTAATAGTATGAGACATTTGGAACTCATTCCTTGGTTCTTCTTCTCTCATTATATCTTTCATTGTATCTTTCAGTGTTACGAGAGATGCATCATCCCATTAATGAAAGCAGAGTGACTGCCTTCATCACACATACATTCAAGATAGACCGCTGGGCTAGTGATGACTCACTCTTAAGGCTATTATGTTTACTCATTTAAAAAATCTGAATCTCAGTATGGATTTTATTCTCAGAGAGTGACTGACCTATCTGATATGATGCTATGACAGAATCTTTACTTTTTACCTGAATTTGATGGGATTGAAAGTTGAGAACATTTTATTTTCTGTTTCACTTGATTAATAATGCCCAATCTAACATGTAATGTTCACTTGGGTACATACATACAACTACACCAATTTTTTTCTTATTTTACCTTAAAAATTTTAAGATATTATAATGGTATGGCCAGTTTACTCACTGGTAAACTTTTCGTAACAGAAGGATCATGCCAGTGGATACAAATACGTAACATCAGTAATTTGCTTTGCCTGTGAAACAGAGAACTGAATAAATTGATGGGCAAACTAGTATCTGAATATAAACCCCAAATATCATGTGACTTCATCATTTTCAGTATAATGAAAATACAGGCTGTGAATGCTTCCAGTTGGTCCTGAAAGGGCCTTTGAGATGAGTAGGTTCACCAAAGCGGCAACATGTGTCCCAGTTCCCAGTGTACATTCTACTCCTCAGTAAGTGACTTGACATTCTTTATGGCTTCCTTGTGATTAAAACATGTCTTTTTATTGAAATTTTACTGAGATAATGATGAGACAATGTAATATTCTTTTCCTCTACATGTAAGAGTAGACATAGATCCACCTCTACCTATTATTATGTTTTTGAGATGGAGTCTCATTCTGTTGCCCAGGCTGGAGTGCAGTGGCATGATCTCGGCTCATTGCAACCTCTGCCTCATGGGTTCAAGCAATTCTCCTGCCTCAGCCTCCTGAGTAGCTAGGATTACAGGCAAGTGCTACCATTCCTGGCTAATTTTTTGGTATTTTTAGTAGAGATGGGGTTTCGACATGTTGGTCAGGCTGTTTTTGAACTCCTGACCTCGTGATCTGCCCACCTCGGCCTCCCAAAGTGCTGGGATTACAGGCTTGAGCCCCTGTGCCTGGTCTTCACCTCTACCTATTATAATATTTATGTTATTTTGTGATGTTTGTGGAACATTTGATAAGGGTTCACAATATGAAAACTGGGCATTTTGGCCAAGATGCATGTAAATGCGTACAACTCCATGTGCCCTGATAACTGATTTCTAGATCCTGAGATTCATGTGGCTTCCCAAGTGTCTGTATTTTATGAAAGTTCATATACAATAAACCATGCCAGTTGTTACTGATACAGCTTCCTTGAATATATAAAGCGATTATCAATGGGTTGTTCTTGTTTCTGCATAAAACCACTGAATTGCTTCTCCAAAGCCAAGAGACCTGTATGATTTGTCCGTATTATATTTTGTGAACCAGTGGACTAAAACCTTTATAATGGGTCTTTTTTTAGTATTGTCAATATTGCTCAATTAACAGAAACCATGCATGACTCATATACACAGGTGAGATGTAGTTCTCCCTTTGACATTTGCTCTACATCTGCCCCTTAGTTGATGATATGGAAGAAGAGCACTCTTTGGCCTGTTGCGACTGGGACAGTTGACAGCACCCAGGTGTCCTGTAATGAAAATGCTCTTGACACCAATGCATCCTAGCATCAGAGCTTCGGGAAGCCTTCTCAAGTGTGCATGGGGAGTACCATGTCTTTCATCAATAATGAAACCTTCTAATGTCTTGGTGAGAAATAATGACTTAAAATTACACTCAGTAGGATTATGCTGAGGTTCAGCCTGCCTAGATGACAGTGCTGGAACAGATAATAGTGACGGCTTATTTTCCTTCAAGGGGAATTTTCTTTTGAACTTGAACTAACAAAATCTTTATGGGTAACTTGTTTGCCCAACTGTGTCAGTATACCTATAAATGAACAAAAAATTCTCAGCCTGTAAGCTTTGTTTCAGTGACCTGTAATGTCTAATACTGTGGTATATTCGGGTCTCATTCTTTGGCTTTTTCTCTTATTGTGTGTTTCAGTAAGACATGCTGCCAAGAGATGTGCCATTCTATTATAAAAGATCAGTAGCTTCCTTTACTGACATGTATATTCTACATAGAACATTGAGCTATGGAAGACTCCCACCTGAGGGAATTAGTTTTACACTTTCAGGTAATCTGAATTTCAATACGAGTTTTCCTTTATGATATAATCCTCATGACAAAATCTTTACTTTTTATTTGAACTTCATACAATTCAATATTGAAGATTTTTAAAAATTCACTGTTACCTAGTCCAGTACTTAATATACCTTTGGCTGTAGATACATGACTAGACAAAATGTTTTTCTATATTATTCTTGTGGGGCTCTAACAGTGTTTCACTGTTTTGAGTTACTGATGAACTTGCTGTAACTGTGAGACCACGGTAATGGAGGAGACCACGGTAATGGAGGAGACCACGGTAATGGAGGAGATCATGGTAATGGAGGAGACCACGGTAATGGACAGGAGAATGTGAGAATCAGTATGCACTTTGCCTGTGAAACTTAAAAATTTAGTAATTTGATCACCAAATTCATACCCAAATTTCAGTTCCTATCATGTGTAAACCAAAATGTATCTGAGATTTAGAAGGTTATTTAGAAGTTATTTTGACAAGGTTAAGGACACGCTCAGAAGAAATAAACCCCAAATCACAGAAACCGTCTGGGGTCTATGTCTTTCTCCAGAGGTGATTTTGAGGGCTTCAGTGTTTAAAGGGGAAAGTGGGCTGGAGGGGAAAAAGGGAGGGTATGATAATCCATATGTTCCAAGACAAAAGGAGCAGGTAGCGGAATAGTCAATAATGTATTCATCTCACACTCAGTAAATCATCACTGTACATAAGATAAGGTGAACACAGAGTAGCTACCTATGGAGATCTTCAACCTTTAATCTGTAGCTATCTGCTTGAGGACAAAAGGAAATTCTTGCATGACTCAGCTTTCAGCTTAATTTTTTTTTCTTTTGGCGTAGTACATTGGGGTCCCAAGTTTTTATTTTCCTTTCACACATGTGACCCTACTATTTTCAGAATAATGAAAACACATGTTAGAAATGGTGACACTTATTCCTAATATGGACTTTGAAATGACTGGGTTCACAAATTCAGAGTCATGGGTCTCACTGTGGGTTTTTATTTTCAATGAGTGACTGGCCTACTTGATGGAATTCTTTCAAAAAATGCTCACTTTTTACTGATATTGTATTAAAATACTGTTGGAATATGTTCGGTCCTGTTTACCATCTCTGTAGTATGATATATGATAATATTGCAGATTATTCAGTGTCAAAAACCTGGCATACCTTGTCCTTATGATGTTGATAAGTCTAGAGCCTCAGTAATATGTCTTTTTATGGTAGTTTGGACCGTATCTCTCCACTAAGAAATAGCCTGTGTAAGCCATACACACAGGAACAATTTATGTCTGATTTTGAACTGTGGTCCTGTTCCTATGCCTGTAGATAAAGACTGCTCAGAAGAGCATCCTCTGGTGTTGCCACAGAGGCAAGTGCTACCACACAGGCATGCTGCAGTGAATTTAACTCATCCTGTGTCCCTGCAACCGTTGTTTAAGGATGCTATTCTGGTAAGTGTTTACAAGACAACATAAATATATGAATCAAGAGTATCTTCAGGAGACATAATAATGTAAAAATCATGCTCAATAGGATTAAGCTAAGGCTCAAAAGTAGTGCCAATCCTTGCAAGAAGGTATGAGAAGTCATTAGATTTGGGGGGTATGGGGTATTCCATTTTGAGCTTGGTAGGAAGAAACCCTTTGGGGAATCTTGCATCATTTGCCTCTATCTACTTCTAAAGGAACTTTTAAAATTCTTTTATCTTGTCTTTATTCTTCATACTCATACATTATTAGAGATAATATCTTGATTGATTTTTTTCCTCATGGTGTGCTTCAGAATGTTCATCCAGCAAGGGGTGTGTCATTCCATGGATTTTATATATATGAGTTCTGTCTTTCATAATTAAAAAAATTCCAAGTGGACCATTTGAATATTGAACATTGGCCTTCAAAATGATTACATTTACCTGTTCATACAAAATTAGTGAGCAGTGATCTATTCTTTCCGATAAGCGACTGATCGAATGGGGTCCTCATTAAAACTCCTTTTTTTTATTGGCCTGAACGTACTTTGATTTAAAGATGAGACATTTAGTAATTCATTGCAATCAACTCTAGTGATTGCACAAATAGACAATCCATTTCTATTATTTTATTTTTGGGGTTGCTGTGTATGGTGTTATGATGTTTGTGGATCATTGAGGCACTACTCACAACTGAAAGACTTTTGACAATTTTAGGGAATGGCTTGATATTCAGCTGTAGGTTACCCTTGATTGAAATTGAATACAATACAGGTAGTCTGAAATCTCATTTCCTTATCCTGAGTCTCACTCAGGTGTCATTAGATTCAGTATAAAGAAAGGCATACACTATGCATGATGCCAATTGTTACTGATATGAAGAGGATAAGAAGTTTTTATTTCTGCAGGGAAATCATCCCTTACCAGGTTGTCAAAAGACATGATACCTATGTGCTTGGCCCTTACTGTACCCAGGGAATCAGTGGCCTCCCACAGCTTAAATAACGGGTCACATTTGGAGTATCACACATCTCAGTCTTGTAGAAATTACGAACAGTGATTAGGAGTCATGCACATATAAGAGATGTAATCCCACCGTTTGACTATAGCCTGCTCTTGTCTTTTTACAGAAAAGACTGTGGAGGAAGAAAACCCTTTACTCTGTTGTTCAGGGAGAAACTGACACCACTCAACTGCCTGACACTGAAAATGTGGCATCCGGTCCACTTTACCACCAGTGTTTAAGGAAACCATCTCTGGTAAGCATATTTGATCTAAGTGTGCATATGTATATGAGTGCCATGGGCTGTGTCAGTGATGAGATGTTATCTTGAAGAGAAATGATGATGTAAAAATTAAGCTCAGATGGATTATGCTGAGGCCCAGCCTATGTAACAACTGTGAGACAAGAAGTTTGGATTTCTTAGTTTCCTTCCATTGGGGATTTTATTTTGGGATTCTGGCAATGGAATCTTTCTGTGAAACTTGTTTTGCACACTTCTATCTGTGTGCTTCTAAGTAAACTATAAATTCTGATTCTTTAAGTGTTAAGTTTCCTATAATTCCTAATTTGCTTGGATATTTGGCACTAAGACCCTTGTTCTTTTTCTCTCATTGGAAGATTTGGTAAGTCCTACTGGCACTATTCTATTGAGTGGAGGTGAGAGGCTGCCTTTGCTGACTGAAAAATTCCAAATAGGTAATTGAACTAGTGAAGACTGAGCTCTATAATAATTAGATTTATTCATTCAGACAACATGAGTATCACGATAGGGTTTTCTTCTCAATGATTGACTGACACATGTAATGCAATCTTCATGAGAAAATCCTTACTTTTTCCCTACGATTGATTGTTTTCAGGTTGAGAAATATGATACATTGGAAGTTTGCTCATGCACTGCAATTATTGTGGTCTAAATATACAGACAAAGTTTTCTGCAATGTTAGTATCATATTTTGACAGAGCGAGGATATGTTTTGATCATAGATGAATCTTTATGACTGAAGGGTCCTTGCAGTTGGGGTAAAAATGTGAGTTTCAATAATACGTGTTTGCCCATGAAACTTGAAATTGGATAAACTGATGAGCAACCTGGTGCCTGACTTTTCTCTCCCAAGTACGTTTGGCTTCATTTTCGTTATGATGAAAGTGTGTGCTGTGTATAATGCCAATGGTAAATAAGACCTTTATGGACACTTATATGAATGACAGTCAGGGCCATTCCTTCAGGCAACGTGATTATCATTATGCATTCTTCTTCTCAGTGAGTGACTAGCACACTTGACAGGATCTGCAAGAGGGAAACTTTCTTTTTTACTAAAATTGCATTGATACAACGTTGACAAGTGTTCTGATTATTGGTATCATCTGTAAGATGTGACACTCATTTGGTCTAAATATAGAAGTTAACATATTAACTTCTAATTTATGTACGTCAGGTTGCTATGTTTTTACGACGTTTGTGGTTTATTGGTGATGACTCACAACATGAAGACTATGGCATTATGGCTACATGTTCTAATTCTGATCTATACATGTCCCATCATTCATTAAATTAAATACAATTATGAGTAGTATGATGTCTGTTTTCTAAAATTTGAGTTTCACCTGGCTCCAGTATGATCATTATATGATGGAGTGCAAGCAACATTATAATGCCAATTGTTATCGATATGGCTTCCTTGAATATGTAAACAAGGGTGATCAATTGAAGGTCTTATTTCTGCATTAAACTACCTGAGATATTCTCCAAATTCAAGAGACCTGTATACTTAAGTCTTTATTCTGTTTGATGAATAAATGGCCCATAGCCTATCTAATGGATCATTTTTTCCAGTACTAATCATCTCTCTTCATTAAGAAATAGCATGCATAAGCCATACATACAGGAAGTAATATTTGTCATCTTGATCTACTGTCTCATCCTCCTCCTCTTAGATAAGGATGATTGAGGAAGACTACTCTTTGGCTTGTTGACACCAGCACAGCTGACACACCCAGATATCTGTTTGGTCTCCTGTGAACTTTCAACCAGGATTTAAGGATGCCATTCTGGTAGGTGTTTTCAGGCAAAGTGAATATATGATTGTGGGGTTGCATGGCTTGTTTCAACAATAAGACCTTATGTTGTCTTGATGACATGAGATGACATGAAAACTAGACTGGCTGGCCCTTATCTTTGCTGGGGTATTCTAGTTTGAGCTTAAGCTAAAGAAATATATTTGGGATACAGTTTCTCTCACCTCTTTCTATTAGCCTCTAGAAGACCACTTATCAATTTTTTTCCTCCTGATTTAGTGGAAAACATTTTGGCAGTTCCTCAAAAAGTTATACTTAAAATTACCATATAACCCAACAATATTAGCCCTAGGTACACACTCAAAAGAACTGAATACAAATGTTCAAATGAATACATGTACATGAATGTTCATAGCAGCACTGTTCACTGGCTGAAGTTCCAGACCCGCCTGGCCAACATGGCGAGACCCTGTCTCTACTAAAAATAGAAAAATTAGCTGGACATGGTTGCTCACGCTTGTAGTCCCAGCTACTCAGGAGGCTGAGGCACAAGAATCACTTGAACACAGGAGGCAGTGGCTGCAGTGAGCTGAGATCACACCACTGCACTCCAGCATGGGTGACAAAGTGAGATTCTGTCTCAAAAAAAAAAAGTAAAGGAAGGTGTGTCACACAAAATAGTGAATACCAATAAAAAGATATAAATTATTAAAAAGAACCAAATGAAAATTCTGGAGTTGAAAAGTACAATAACTAAAATTTAAAAGTTTATTAGAGGGCTCAATAGTAGATTTGAACTGGCAGAAGAAACAAGAAGTAAACTTGAAGATAGAACAATAGAGATTATGTTCAAAAGAACAGAGAACATAAAGAATAAAGAAAAACAAAGAGAGTCTCAGAGAATGTGGAACATCGTTAAGCATACCAGCATACACATATGGGAGTACCAGAGAAACAGGGGAGATACAAAGGATCAGAAAAAGTATTGAAGGAAACAATAGCTGAAAACTTCCCATATTTGTGGAAAAACAATAACCTACATATCCAGGAAGCGCAATGAATTCCAATGAATAAATGCGAAGACTGACAAATGGAAACATCAGTAAGATTTCCGAAAGTAAAAAACAAGAAGAAAGTCTTGAAAGCAGTGTGAGAAAAATGATTTGTTCCTTACAAGGGAACCCCAGGAAGATTAACAGCTGACTTCAGCAAAAGCAATGGAGGCCAGAAACAAAGTGATAACATATTAAAAATGCTCAAAGGAGAAAAAACCTGTCATCTAAGAATTCTGTACCTGGCAAAGCTGTCTTTCAAAAATGAAAACAAAATAAAGACTTCTTCAATTAAAAAAAAAAAGTTGGAGAGTATACTGCTGTCAAAACCCCCTTAAAAGAGTTCTCTAAATACTTGAAGTTCTTCAAGCTGAAAGCAAGTGACCCTAGGTAGTTTTTCAAATCAACATAAACAAGCAAAATGCTTGTAAAGGTAATTATATAAATATAAAAGACAGTAGAAATGTAATTGTTCTATTAAGTGATTTTAAAATAAATGCTATAAAATAATATGTATATAATGTATTTTGGAGTCTATTACATATAAAAGTGTAATATATTTGCCAAAGAAGATAGGTGGATGCAAAGCAATACAGGACTAAGGAAATGAGTACGGATGGTAGATTAATATTTATTACAATGTCTTGCTTGGCTTATAGCATCAGTAAATGTAATATTTATAATAATACCACAAAAGATGGCAAAAAGGGAAATAGGGCTATACAGGTGTAACATTTATGTGTATGACTGAAATTAATCTAGTGTAAATTAGAAACCTATTTGGGTGAGTTAAGATACATGCAGTAAACCCTAGAGCAACCACTGAAAAAATTCAAAAAATATAGTGAAAAAAATTATTAAGGAAGTTTAAATGCTAAATTATAAAATAATTACTTCATGAAAAACAAAGAAGTAAAGAGGAATAGAGGAACAAAAACACATGAGACATAGAGGAGAAGAAGAATGACATCATAAACTCAACTATGTCAATAATAAAATTACATGTGAATAGAGTAAATTAAATTAAAAGGCAGAGATTCCCAGGCTGTATAAAATCTCCAAGTTTAATATCCCTTTGCCCCCGAATAAAATCCAGCTTTTTTTTTCTATGATGTATTTGATCACTGTGCTGGTTTACAAAAGATTTCTAACCTTTCTAAAATCTTAAAAATCAGTGGCGAAGTGTTCTATCTCATTTCATCCTTATCAGAGACTCAGATCCTGAAAAATACCAAGTTGATCTGCCCATTCTTGAGTTCTGCTGAATGGTGTCTTCCCAGATCACTATGGATATTGCTGTTTACTTGACCAGTTACTTTTAGTCAACAAGATTTGAACAATGCTTTTGATTCACACAGCGTGAGACCTACACTTCCCTCATATTGAAATAGGGGCTTTAGCATCCTGGATTCCTACACCGGCTTTTGAACCATATGATTCCTGCACCCCAAGAAGGCATGTTATCTGGACATTGTCGTCTCTGTGATGGGAAAGAACAGTTTTTTCAACAAATGTTGCTAGGACAACTGGATATCTAGATACAAAAGATACTGCATTTATGTTACCAGTTTTCTGTGTCAGTCCCTTTTGCTCTGATGTAACAGAATGCTGCAGACTGGGTATTTGTAATGAGTGGGAATTTATTGGTTCACATTTTGGGAGGCTGGAAAGATCAAGGGGCTGGCATATGGTGAGGGCCTTCTAGCTGTGTCATCCTATGACAGAAGGGCAAAGAGACGGTATGGATGAGACAAATATCTTCTTTTTATAGGAACCACTCCTGAAATAACAGCATTAATCCATTGATGAGGGCAGAGCTCTCACAGCCTAATCACCTTTTAAATGTTGCCTCATTAAACACCGTTGCATTGAGGGTTACGTTTCCAACATAGGCTTTTGAAGTGAAATGAAACATTTGACCATTCCCAATGACAGTTTGAAATTTCAGTGGTTTCTCAGTACGTGATTGAACATGGATAAGATAATCAGTCAGGGTGGATGTAAGAAAACTGTTAACCAACTTGACTCCCCTGGCGTATGTAGACCACGACACCCAGCAATAGCAGAATGCACATTACGTTCAAGTGCTCATGAAGCATTATTTTGTGTATATGTATTTTCTCCCTTTTTTGATAAAGTTAGCTAGTAGAGTGCCTATGTAGTTAATATTTTTTAAAACCACAGACTTCTCAATTATTAATTACATCTATGGGTTTTAACATATTATCTTCATTAATTTCTGCTTTGATCCTTATTTCTTTCTTATACTTTCATTTTTGCTCTTTTTTAGTGTTTTAAGATGAAAATTGAATTCTTTCATTCACCTACTTTTTCATTTTTAAAAATAACAAAAATGTTTAGTGCAATGAATTTTCCTCTAGAACTGCCTTTAAATGCATATTACAGATTCTCATTTGCTGTACAGTTTAAAATAATATGTAAATACATATCTGCATACAAAGATATGTATAAAAATATGTATTTACATATTATTTAAACATATGTATTTTCTGTTTATATTTTTCCTTTTAATCAGAAGTTAATAGATAGGATATTTTTAAAATTTCTTGGTGAAAGAGCCTTTATGTTATTGCTAATAAAGTCTATTTTTTTGCATTGTGATGTTTTTAATATTTCTTGAATTACTAATTTTTCTTTCCAACCTAATATACAATCAGTTTTTTGTGACTATGCCTTGGGCACTTAAGAACAATACATATCTTCCATTATCAGTCAAGTTTAATATATAGCCATAAAATCTACCCTATTTTTATGTTGCTATTTTTGCCCACTTGATCTGTCTTTTTCTGATAATGGTGTATTATCGTTTTCTATTATAGGATCTTCTATGTCTTGTCTCCTTACATCTCATACATCTCATGTAGTTTTTTATTCATAAAGGTGGTTATTATGTTATTTGGTATATAAGTCTCCATAAGGGTCAAATCTCCATGTGTATTATATCTTTTAGCATAAAAAATGTGTTCTTCTTTGCCTTGGTTAACATTGTGGGACTTGAATACATTGTGTGATATAAGAATCACTACTCCTGATCTCTTTTTGTTTTCATGTGCCTGATATACTTTCACCCATCCCTTTATTTTCAGTCTTTTAGAATCCATTTGTTTTAGATGCATCTCTCATAGAAAACATATTACGTTTTATTTTGTGAGCCTGCTGAAAATATTTTTCTTCTAGTAGGTGTGTGGAGTCCACTCACACGTGTGTGTGTGTGTGTAGCTATGACTGATGTTTATTGTGTTTGTGTTTTCTTTATATTTGCTGTGCTCTTTGGTCACGGTGTAGTCTTTGCTTGCCTATTTATTTATTTATTCATACTTAGGAGAGTTGTTATTTTTGTTGGAGTGTTTACTTTTGTACCTCTCTTCATTCTGCTAGTTCTGTGTTTTCCTAGTTAATCTTTTACTTCTGATTTATGAGTTTGGGGGATGTTCTTTAACACTCCCCTACTGCTCTTGCAACATGAGCTTTATGGTAGATCAGGGATTGAAACACAATGCTGTCTGTGCTGGGCCTTCAGGAGGGTGGGTGGGTATATGTGGCTGAACAGTGCATGCTGGGTACATGGGAGGGTACCCATGAGTGCTTTTGGTTTTCCTCTTTTTCTTTCCTCCTCCTGTGTTTAGTTGTCTTATTTCTACTTCGTCACAATATTAGTGACATTTGTATGCTAGTCTTCTACCCTGGATAGGGAATATACACCTGTCACATGGAAGGAATATCATGTTGTATGCTGCTGTCAAATGGATCCTAACATACATTAATAATCTTTTAAATGATATAATCTTCATAGTTAACTCCTGACATTTTATTTTTATCATATTAAGTAAATATATCAGCATTGACAGCCATCCCACTGCAATATCACTTCACATTTTGCTTAGACCAAAGGGTTCTGAGAAGCTTCTGGAGCTGTCGTGAAAGCCAGTTTCACTAAAGTCAAGTCAGACATCCGCCTGTGCTGTTTTCCGCTATAAGCTGAATGTAGAAGATACATTGTTAGGAGCCTCAGTGTGGTGTGAGGAGTGTTTACTTATTGGTAGTAGACTTGTCTGAATCAAGGATAAGCACAAGTATCTGAGATGCTGAGGTGTGGCTGAATGAATGGCCATCTATTCTATTGCAACAGGATGAATAACACATTCAGAGCAGGCCCAGTTGGTGAACTCTTCAATTATCTCACAATACCACTATCTTGTGTCTTTCATTTTTCACATCACAGTGTATTTTCATAAAATCTTTATTGGTAGACTACAACTTTAGCATTTCCCATTCAAGATACAACTGCTGTGTCGCTTGGATAGCTTGGTAGAGAGGAAATTGGCTATTTTCAAAGTAAAGAATTCAAGGAGGAAAGAAATTTATAAATGAAATGACAAAGTAATGAGATCAAACAATGCTGATGTTTGTAGCAAGGATTAGAGTGCTGAGATGCCTGTATGATAAGAAATTATAATGGAACCAATCTTGTGCTTTATTTTTTATTAATTAGGAGCATTCTCTGATCTGATTTATCTTCTATGTGATATTTTGCTGCAGGTTAAAAGCTCAAACAACTTCAAGGAAACTTCAGGGAAAAGAGGTGAGCAGCCACTTTGGTAGTTTTGAAATTCTTTGTGTGTTCTGCGGACAATGATTTCAGAACGTCAAGGACTGCGAGTTCATTATTTCAGAGGCTGAAAAGAGATTATTCTTTTGGTAGATATATTTCCCCAGGGGTGTCCCTACCTTGCTCAAGGATTCCTCATTATTGTTTCTTCTCTTTAAATCTCTTTTTGAAATGACCTAAACAATGGTGGAGAATCACTGACATATTTCCTTTTTTCACTATTCATGTTGGGTGAAAATAATCTCGTAGTGAAATTCACATGTTCTAACTATTGTTTTTTTGAATCTTTATCTAGCATATTCATAACATAGATGTTTCTATACATATTAGTACTGTAATAATACTATATATTTATTCTGCTACCTCACTTACTCCTTAAACTTTTAGTTGATTAAAGAGTTTTTATAAAGTTCCCCAATAGATTTTTTTTTTTTTTTTGAGACATAGTCTCACTCTGTTGCCCAGGCTAGAGTGCAGTGGCATGATTTTAGCTCGCTGCAACCTCCGCCTCCTGGGTTCAAGCAGTTCTCCTGCCTCAGCCTCCTGAGTAGCTGGGATTACAGGTGGGTGCCACCACACGCAGCTAATTTTTGTATTTCAGTAGAGACGGGGTTTCACCATCTTGGCCAGGCTGGTCTTGAACTCCTGACCTTGTGACCACCCGCCTTGGCCTCTCAAAGTCCTGGGATTACAGGCATGAGCCACCGTGCCTGGCCAGATTTTAATCTAATTTTATTGGAACAATTCAGTCATATGTTTTTTCATGCTATGTATATGAGAGTTCCATCATTCAGATACTAAACAAATGTCTACATTTACTGTTCTCACTGATGATGCATTAGATAACCATGCACAAAATAAGCCTGGCTGTGGAAATGCTTATTTGTTGGGAGGGCGCTTGTTTGGATCGATGATGAGAATAATTGTCTGAGGATGCTGAGGGACTCATTCCAGATGTCAATCTGAGGTCCAGATGTGCAGCCCTCCAATAGGACAAATAAGACTCTCAGAGCCTGGCTCTATTTGGGGATCCCTCAGTGACAACAGAGTACCCCTGTGAGCATGCCTTTTCTATCTCTCCTGAGAGGGCATTAGCATCCTGTCTTAGGAGTCAGTATGCTCTTTAGTATGCTTAGTCACCCAAGACTTGCTTTAATTGTAGATAGATACTTACATATAGGAAAGATGTTCTTAAGTAACAAATGAAAAACTTTAGAAGATTGAATTAAGGGTCGAGCAACTGTGATATGTCTGCAAATCTCATTAGTGTTATGCTGAAAGAAGGAAATATGGCATGCCTTTATTAAATAATGACAATGGAACCACGTTTCGTGCTTTGTTATTTTTACTGTGGAGTATTTTCTAAGATTATGTTTGCTTTTTTTTCTCTTTCATGTTTTGCTGAGATAGAAGGCCTGGAGTCTGATCCTCCACTTCAGAGAATAGGGGTGAGTAGCTAAACCATTATCTTTTGAAATTCATATGTCATGTGCTTTTTGCTAGGTCTTTAGGTTGTTGTGTATATCTTTTCAGAAGCTTATTGAAGGACATTTTGATGATACGTCCTTTTCCTCATTGAGACCCTCACCATGTCACCTACACTATTGAATCTATCATTTCTGTTTTAATTTTAACTCTCTTCTGCTTTTATGGAAAAATGTAGAATTTAAGAGAATTTTTGGCAATTTCATATTGGATCAAAATTTATTGTAGTGAAATCCAGGTGTACCAAAATATTAACAGAGTTTCCTCTTCTGTTTAATTATTGGGGTTTCAGAATAGAGGCTCCATGGTTCATAAGATCTTTGTGGTCACACTACATTATATTTCTGCTTCTAATTGAATTATTAAGTATTGACTTGAATTAGTCTTTTTCTCGTTGTTGCAGCAAGGTAAGTTATATAGGAAATTTTCTTTTCTTGATGGCATGCCTGAGATAATCATAGATATAAGACACCTGGGTGGTTTCTAGTATGCATGTAATTTTTATTTCTTGATCTGTGTGTTGAGTACTTGCTGTGTTTGCATCATGCAAATACATTGAGCTTTACAATTTTAGTGGATGCACTTTTCTACATGTATATTATTCTTCGATAGAAAGTAAAAAAAACCTCATCAAACTAGTCAAAATATTGGTTAATACATAAAAAAGTCTCAAGTAGATTGTGTATTACATGGTGCTTATTGATCGATGCCCTCATAATAGATCAAGTACGTTCTCTCTTTAGCAGAGGTCTTTTTAGCAAATCGTGTCGTGAGTAGTTACTCAAGTATTTTTATTTTAACACATTTATGTTTTTTCTATGCATATTCTTAAATTCTCTTACACTTTTTTCTCTGTTATAAAAACATGCTGAACAATCTCAAGTCTTAAAGATTGCAGTATTGTCCCTACATATTCATGTATTTTGGTACTCAATTCTTTATACTTTCTTTGACAGATCACTTGAACATGTCTCTTGTTTTGCAGAGAGGGAATTAATGGGATACCTTCATGCTTTTCTATTCTATGTGCTACATAATTGAATATACAAGCAAATATAGTTATTAAGCTTTAGTATGATTATTTCCACAACACATGCAAAGAAGTTTCTCATACATCTTAATAGAGGCCCACATGCATTGTACGGTTGAGAATTTGGGGAAATGTTGATGAAGTTGGGTAAAGTATAAATCCAAAAGTCAGAACGGTGAACTCCTTGCTTAAGGATCTCCTTTGAGATTACTTAGTCAATACACAACTGATAAATTTAAGTGCTTTTCACCTTTTGAGCTCTTGACACACTAAAGCTAAAATGTGTTTCAACTTTTAATCCTGCTTCCCTAATTTTCCCTTTTTTAGTTTAAGATCAAAGAGCTCCAGCCATAAATTACCACCAAGAGTAACCACTTCATTTTAAGAAAGCTTAGCAATATAGAAGAATATAAAATTATTTATGACAGATGTATTTTAACCTTTTCCCCATGCTTTCCAGAGGAAATATGTTTAATCATCTGCCCTATATTAGGGAAAAAATTTCTATGCTAATACAAGTATCTATCAATCATTAATCTTTCTATATAAGATATATTGATCATAACCAATTAATTTTATTGTAAATGAGCTTTAGATTTGACATTTTGGTAGTAATATATGTTGTACAATCTCCTGAGGTCCTATAGGTCTTGAGATCTCCATGTCAAAAACTATAGATGTGTCAGTGTTTTTGGTGAATGTGAAGGACGCCACATTTTCCTTAGCCATTTCTTCTGTTCAGAATAATGGTTATGAACATTTTGCTACTGCAAGATATCCATATATTTATAATCAGAATATGCCAGTTTTTATGCACTCATGCCTCTGTTTCTGTAGAGCATTCCTAGAATGAGTAATGCTTGAAAATTAGGTCCATGTGGTTTCTTTAATGAGATGTAGTCAAATCATGAAATATTTAGGTTACCATTATTTCAGTAATGTATTAGAATGTCAAGGTAAAGTTATCTACACTGTATATATACACACAACATAGATATAATTTAAACAACATATACATTTATATTTATACAGCAGATATATATTTATACAACATAAAATGTATTTTATTATTTAAACATAAAATATATTTTATTTAATGTAGATTCTTTTTTTTTAAGTTTAAGACTTTGAAGGTTTAAAAAAATTTTTTTTATTATTATACTTTAAGTTCTAGGGTACATGTGCACAACATGCAGGTTTGTTACATATGTATACATGTGCCATGTTGGTGTGCTGCACCCATCAACTCGTCAGCACGCCATCAAAATTCATTCAGTTTTACAAGTATCAGGTCATAACTACCAATGCCATCCCTCCCCTCGCCCCTCCCACAAATAGGCCCTGGTTGTAATGTTCCCCTTCTCGTGTCCAGGTGATCTCATTTGTTCATTTTAAAATTCTTTTCTTTAAGAATGTTGAATAGGCCTCCACTCTCTTCTGGCTTGTAGGAGTTTTCTGCCGAGCAGATCCGCTGTTAGGTCTGATGGACTTCCGCTTTGGGGATAACCTGAACCTTTTCTCTTTGACTGCCCTTAACATTTTTTCCTTCAGTTCAACTTCAGTGAATCTGACAATTATGTGTCTTGGGGTTGCTCTTCTTCAGGAGTATCTTTGTGGCATTCTCTGCATTTCCTGAATTGAATGTTGGGCTGCCTTGCTAGGTTTGGGGGAGTTTCTTCCTGGATAATATCCTGCAGGAGGTGTTTTTCCAAACTTGGTTCTGTTCTCCCCATCACTTTCAGGTACACCAATCAGACATAGATTTGGGTTTTTCACATGAATCCCATATTTCTTGGAGGCTTTGTTCATTTCTTTTTCCCTCTTTTTCTTGCACTCTCTTCTCGCTTCATTTCATTCATTTGATCTTCAATCATTGATACTCTTTCTTCCAGTTTGATCAAGTCGGTTACTGAAGCTTGTGCATTGTCACGTATTTCTCGTGTCATGGTTTTCATCTCTATCAGTTCGTTTGTGGCCTTCTCTGCATGATTATTCTAGTTTTCCATTCTTCTATTCTTTTTTCAAGATTTTTGTTTCTTAAGCGTGGGTATGTAGTTCTCCTTTAGCTCTGAGAAGTTTGATCGACCAAAGCCGCCTTCTCTCAACTCGTCAAAGTCATTCTCCGTCCAGCTTTGATCCATTGCTGGTGATGAGCTGCGTTCCTTTGGTGGGGAGATGTGCTCTGATTTTTTGAATTTCTAGCTTTTCTGCCCTGCTTCTTCCCCATCTTTGTGGTTTTATCTGCCTTTGGTCTTTGATAATGGTGATGTACTGATGGGGTTTTGGTGTAGGTGTCCTTTCTGTTTGTTAGTTTTCCTTCTAACAGTCAGGACCCTCAGCTGTAGGTCTGTTGGAGTTTGCTTGAGGTCCACTCCAGACCCTGTTTGCCTGGTTATCAGCAGCAGAGGCTGCAGAAGATAGAATATTGCGGAACAGCAAGTGTTGCTGTCTGATTCTTGCTCTGGAAACTTCGTCTCAGAGGTGTGCCCAGCCGTGTGAGGTGTGAGGTGTAGGTCTGCACCTAGTGGGGGATGTCTCCCAGTTAGGTTACTCAAGGGTCAGGGACCCACTTGAGCATGCAGTCGGTCTGTTCTCAGATCTTAACCTCTGTGCTGGGAGACCCACTACTCTCTTCAAAGCTGTCAGACAGGGTCATTTACATCTGCAGAGGTTTCTGCTGCTTTTTGTTTAGCTATGCCCTGTCCCCAGAGGTAGAGTCTATAGAGGCAGGCAGGCCTCCTTGAGCTGTGGTGGGCTCCACCCAGTTCGAGCTTCCCAGCAGCTTTGTTTACCTACTTAAGCCTCAGCAATGGTGGGCACCCCTCCCCCAGCCTCGCTGCCACCTTGCAGTTAGATCTCAGACTGCTGTGCTAGCAATGAGGAAGGCTCCGTGGGCGTGGGACCCTCCGAGCCAGGTGCGGGATATAATCTGGTGTGCCGTTTGCTAAGACCCTTGGTAAAGCTCAGTATTAGGGTGGGAGTTACCTGATTTTCCAGGTATTGTGTGTCTCAGTTTCCCTTGGCTAGGAAAAGGGATTCCCTTCTCCCTTGCACTTCCCAGGTGAGCTGTTGCCTCACCCTGCTTCAGCTCTCGCTGGTTGACCAGCACCAATTGTCCGGCACTCCCCAGTGAGATGAACCCAGTACCTCAGTTGAACATGCAGAAATCACCCGTCTTCTGTGTCGCTCGCACTGGGAGCTGGAGGCTGGAGCTGTTTCTGTTCGGCCATCTTGCTCAGGATCCAGGTTTTTTCATGTAGATTCTTAAGTGATAAATATGTTTAACATTATTAAAATAGATTAAAATAGGTTATAGTTAATACAATGAAAATTGGCAGTCCTATTACAAAACGTATGCCATAATTATAGCATTTATCACTGACAGTCATACCAGGATAGTCTTTTATTTCCAATCACTTAAACATTCCTAATTGCAAAAAAAATTTGAAGACTAAAATTCAGAAGTTTTGAAAGAGCCATTGCCTGGATAAATTATACAGGTTTCAGTTTTATTTATAATAATTATGTATATATTTATAAATTAATACATAATAAATTAATAACTTGTGATAGGCAATGCAAAGATGACAGTGAGAGGGCAAAATTGATAAGATTGATAAAGTCATGTTAACATGAAGAAATTAACCAGGATACCATCCACACTATAAAGTTGGAGAAATTTATCAGGACAGTTCTCAAATACTCTTCTCAGTTTTAACATTGTAACAGGAATTTTTAAGATTTTGGTATTATGTGTGTTTCCTTCCAGATAATTTGAACAGATTCATATTTGGTATTTTTTAAAGCCATATCTTTGTCCTTAGTGCTGGCAATGTATTCTTGAGAATGAACAAATCAGAAATATGTAAAAGCCATAAGTGAGGGTGTCAGGTTGAAGTAGTCAATCAATTATACAGAACACAAAGAATTTTA